AGCGAGACCTCATTTCGTAACTATAAAATTATTTTCTGAACATATACCGAAAGAAAAGTTTATGTTTCAAGGGAACAAGTGCATCCAGTAGTGTAATACCAGGCATCTTCTTGATGCTGGTCAAAAGGTGAAAATCACAAAATCCTTTAAAATTATCGATAGACACAAAAACAACCCAATTGTCGTCAAGTTCGCCAAAACAATCTCTATAAAACGCCTGAAACCCGATTTATATATGCTCAGAAGAAAACAACGGTCAGTCTCTTTCATTTAATTACGTAGTTGGTAGCTTTAAACTCACCCCCGCCCCCTTTGATAGAATGTAATTTTGGTTGTTTTTTATTTCCATGATTTGAGTTGAACTCATTACATTATTACCCAATTTATCAGTTACTCATCATCTTACGCACCTCACGTCTTTATTACGTAACTCCTTTACCATTGTATGCAGACATTTACTTTTGTCTAAACTTGAACTTATTTTTCCTTGGGTTCCTAGTGGAACATAGGGCTTCAACTACACGTCTCCACTTACTTCTGTCTTCTGCTGTACTTTTCACCTGCATCCATGTTAGTCCATACTGTTTCAGTCCCTCTTCACACGATCTCCTCCATGTCACCCTTGCACCGAAGTCCCACTCGCCGCTTCCCTTTCGGCTTCCACTCGACCACTGGCCTGACGCGCGATGTCACCCAGCCAGCGGCCTCCTCAGCGAGTGTCCAATCCATCTCCACTTCCTTCTCCTGCATATTTTTTAAGCGATTGGTTCTTGTTTGTTTTGTTTCTTCCCATAGTTTCTTGTTGGTTCTTGTTCTTTCCGGTGGCCATCTCATCTTCAGTATAGAGCCAGCGAAGACAGTTGTTGTTGATAAAGGTGTGCAACAGGCTGTTGGAAATATTCTTTGTGGCCCGCCAAAACTTGAACTGTAGGGTATAATTATTTGAGAACTGTTCATTAAGTTTGGAACCTTCTGTTAACTGACATTATGTAAAATTGCAAATATGTTAAAACATTTTCTGCACATAAACCTATCGAGATTGTGCATATAAACTGTGCAATTAGTCATAATAATAATAATAATAATGGAGATATCAATCACAAGGATGAAAAAGTGAGGCGATATGTGCTGATATTTTAAGTAACCCACTGACAAACATTTTCAACACTTCTTTTTCTAATAATGTTGTACCTTCTCTGTGGAAAGATATTAAAATCATCCTTGTACCCAAGTCAGGTTCTGGTAATAATGCTAAGTTTAGACCTATCGCTATTACCTCTCCTTTTTTGAAACTAATGGAGAAACTATTGTTACTAAAACTTGTTCCCTCCCTAAGCTTCTCAAATGATCCGAAGCAGTTTGCCTACAAACAGGGTAGAAGTACTTTAGACGCTGTTGCTGTGTTTCATCACAACATTGTATCCTCCTTAGACAAAGGGGCCAAGTATGTCCGTTGTACGTTCCTTGATTATACATCTGCTTTCGACTCTGTACCTAGAGGCCTTTTGTTAGACAAGCTTAGCCTTACACAAACTGAGCCCTGGACTATCAACTGGCTACACTCTTACTTCTCTAATAGGATGCAGTACACGGTATATAATGGTGTATCTTCCTCTCCTTTGCTTACTGAAGCTGGAGTTCCTCAGGTTGCTGTTCTTTCTCCGTTTCTCTTTACCTTCTTCTTACATGATTTACCCCTTTCAGACGAAATCAACTTCATCAAATATGCAGATGAGCTGACTGTATCGTTTCCCATTATTATTATTATATCAAGGCTGTACGCAGATGATGAGAAGCAGACCAAATAAATGATGCTACCAAATTATTCTGCACAAACTGTTGCTCTTGCTTTATTCAAATTCATAAAAAAAGGGGAATAAATGTATGAAATTACATAAAGGGGTTGGTTACATTTAGAATGTTAATTAACAACAAAGGTCAAAGGTTATCTACTAGTTAGTAACACAAATAAATCCAAGTGCACTCGAAATCACAGTTTGTAAAAAATATTGAATCATCTTATGTACGCTGAAGGAGACAGTCGTGAATCTTACACTGCCTTGGTGATGATAACATAGAGCACAAATTCCACTATGTCAACTTCTGTCCTGTTTAGAAAACTTGAATATTTCATCTAAACATGACTCATCCTACCTCGCTTTTTTTGTCTCTTTTATAAAAACGTGTTTTACCGTGGTTACGTAACTCACTAGCGCTTATACTCTTTCTAGTTAGACTTACTTTCTACCCACAAAACATCCGTTGAACTCTGTCCTTTTGTTTCCAAGCTTAGTCATGCAATTCTTTTTATAAAAGGTCGATCGCTTTCACTCTTAATTATTCAACAACTAAATATTTAGAGCGAACAATTGTGGTTTCAATAAATTCTTCCTTCTTCAGGCTCTACAATTATAAATCCATTAATTTAAGCATACAATAGCCAGTAAAGGCAAATTGGAATCATATAAATAATAATAATCACTTTATTCCACAACAATAACAATTTACAGCATGGAATTTTCAGCGTTTCATTTTACATATCAGAAAGTGTATTGTGGAACAAGTATAAGATGGGATGGAACAATAGTCATATAGTTTTTTAATATGTATGGTCAATGAGAACATGGGACAAAATGAGATGAAGTAATTTAATTTAATTATGTATATATATATATATATATATATATGTATATATAGTCAACAGAAATACAGGTTTCGAGAGTGTGTGTAATCAGGGTGTGTGAGACAATATGAAAATAAACCAACGAATGGGGCGGTCTAGACATAAGTTCAAGGTTGAAAATAACGACAGTAAGAATGATTGTCAAATAATAACGATGATATGGTGTAGAATTACAAGTACTATTGGTGAATGATTGTCAAATAATAATAATGAATATAATGAAGTGGAATGAACAGGATTTTGTAAATACGATAACAAGTTAGAAAAGCACTACTTAAACCTAAGGTAATAAAGTAATAAGAAAGTTCATGAAATCATAAAAGTCGAAAATGAACGTTTGTCAATGAAACAGAGGAATAGAAGAAGAAGAAGAAGAAAAGAAAAGAAAATTGTGAAAGGAATTTATGGTGTTAATGGAGGATTTGTTGGCTTTATTGTAGGCCAAGGTAAACATAGAGGTTGAACATACTTCTTCTGTATGCAGAGATGGTCTTCTGGTGTTAATTGCAACCGCTTCAGGTACTCATAGAAGACGTAGTCGAGCTCCTCTAGATAAATTACCAGGAACGTGGCAAATAACTGAGAACACCTGGTCAAGTTTTATCGGGTGTCCAGTATCTACCAAGTGAGCTAAGATTGCACTATTTACGCATCTGGTTACTCCTTTATTCAACCATACAGGTACATGTTCACGCACGCGCATGGATTTCGTTCACGAAATGAATTCAGTCGACGAACTATTGAAAACCAGCAAGGGGTTTCAGACAGCTATTTCGTCCTTGTTTGCGACTCTTCAGAATGGGAGCATTCTCAACCTTGCTTCATGGGATCAAATCTAAGACCTTCAGGTTACAAGTAGAACTCGTATACCGTTTAGTCACCCGGCGTGGAATACAGTGGCCCTTGCAATTCTAACTTCTGCTGATTCCCGATACAAAGTGACTCCTAGCAAATGTCACTACTGATTAGTAACTTCTCAAGATTTCCAAACAAGATCGAAATAGCTGTCTAGTTGGTCTGCTTGGTTTTACAATGCTTCTCTGACTTAGTCTCCAGCTGACACATTCCATTGGATACACCAAAGTGATTAACTAATATAATTACGACTCCGGTGGAGCTACGTGCCCTGAGTTCACCAAATACTCGAGAATTGAGGTAGTAATTGTCTTACACTGTCCCTTTGCTAAACATGCCGGATAGTGTTCAGAGATACGTTTGGAAAGCGTGCGCCAAGTTGTGCGGCCAATGTAACTAGCTCCACACGAGCAGGTGAATTTATAAACACATAGTGAGGTGACCCAAACCGGCGGCAGTTTATCCTTCACACATCCGTTGATCATTTGTCGGCTGTAGAAAATAATACGTAGCTCAGCCATAAAGAAGGCTTTCCTCAGTGATCTGCATAAGCGAAAGTGCACAAAGAGAACGTGCCACTACGTCCAATCTTGAACATGACAAATTCCGCATAACATGCTACCGCCAAATGGCTCACAGAAATCCTCCTACCTATCAGAAATAACCTCTGCAAGCATAGTGTTTCTGATTTGTTTGAATTCGTCGATTCAATAAGCGATGCTAATGTATCCGAAAAGAAAATGATATCCATGGATGTTACTTCGCTTTTCACCAACGTTCCCCTCACTGAAACTATATGCTTTATATGCAAATTCATTGAGGATAATAATGTAGACGTATGTGTCCGATCCACTACTTAATGTAACTACTATTAAGGTGCACTCTCAGTGTCCAGTTCAAGTTCAACAACATGATTTGTAGACAAAGAGATGGAGTGGCAATGGTGTACCATTTTTCAAGTTCTATCCATCCTATGAACTATTCTATATATGACATTAATTAGCTTTGCCACTTGACATTTAACTACGATTATAATCACAAACATTCTAGTTTTAATTGCATTTCATATTATTATTATTTTATGTATTCACACCTATGATTTAATTCCCTCACGGGATATAACACGATTTCACAGCTTGATGATAAATTCGTTGAAAAGAGTCTCTTCGCTGAATCATTTGTTTTGATTTTCTATATGTTACAATGGGAATTTTCCTTGAATTATAGTCAACACAAAAACGAAAATTCTTTTGAACACACTTTTATTATATATTGAATAACAAATACATTATTTACGAGTACACATCCTATCATCGTTCAACATGTTCAATTTAAATATTTCCATTTTAGGGATATACAACAAAAACAACAAAAACAACGCGGAACAACCAAAAGTGGAATGTAATACCAGAGAACAATGTAATGCCGCATAGATGTACAAATTCACATAGTGTAGTTATATTTATGTGAGAATATGTGTACGTCGTATCATACCTTGTCTAGAACAAGTCGATGTCCAATGCGATAAACCATCACCACAGGCTAAATCCGGTGGACCAGTTACACAACGACCAATAAGAGTAGTACCTTCATGCAATTTCCTACCAGATCGAGCTATAACATTCAACACTATGCATACACGACTCATATCCTCTTCAATGATAAAATTCAATTTCTCACCTAATATAAATTCTGCTGAATTCAAAGATATTCGTGCAGTCGGTCTTGACTGGACAGTTCTATATAATTTCCAATTGGAACAGAGTGATGCTCGGACAATTAAACTTTCTGTAAAAAAGAGAAAAACGCATATATAAGTCAAGAGGAGTTCATTTCAAAAAAGGAAATGGAACATGATGTTGAATAGTATAAGTAGCTTAGGACACAATATGTGTAAAAAGTAGAAACAACATTATTCACAAGACACGTTGGATTATTTTCATAACTTACTGATAGGAAACAAGTCTAGAACAGGCTAAGAGCTACACACATTATGTAAGGACTGGTAAGACTATTCACTTGCCTATACTGAAGTACACAGAGGGTGATTCAAACTAAGGACCCAGAGACAATGTTAAGCGCGAAACCTATAACTTACTTTGTTGTTAATAATCATAATTTCAGGCTCTTTTATTTCTCTCTTATTTTGTATTCTATAGTGAACTCCTTCTTAAACATACTCAGCTACCTAAATTATTAACATTGCCTTCCTTTTTTGTACTTTACTGTATTCCTTCTTTTGTGTATATACTGGTTCCGACTATATTAGTACTATGAGAATTACAAAACTGTCCTGTCATTAACCATCACGTAATTATTGGTTTTTGTGGTTGTTGTTTTTTTGTTTGGCAATATTAAACTGACAATCATTGGTTGTGAACGCCATTATCACCATCTTAAAATTTTGTATTATGCAGGATTACTCACACTACTACTACAAACACCGCATCAGACCTCATAAAAAAAACAACCCTGAAATGTTATTTTATGATTGTTTAGTGTTATTTCAACCTAAATTAACTGATCATCTTGACGATAAACATTCTTAAATATCATTTCATAACTTCTTGTATGACTATAGCTTTACTGTCACCATGCATAATCATATCATAACTTCCACTACCCAATACTGATATATTATTATATGCTGTTTATTTTCCTTTCTGTTTCTTGTATTTTTTTCGCATTTTTTAAAATTATTTTGTGATTTTGGTAGTTGTTTTTTGTTGTTGTTGTGTTCATATTTATTTTTTGAAATACTCCTTTTAAATGTTTGATAAAATTAGATGCAAATATTGTAGATATGTGCTGAAAATTCCACACTGTATCATTAGTACTGTTTCTGGAATAAAGCAAATTATTATTATTTTCCGTAAGTCGAGTGTTTAAGCTAATAACCCGCACCCCCAGTCGTTCGATGCAGCCAGTATGAATGACGTGTGAGTAGGTATGTGTCCCATCTTCCGCCTGTATTCACTAACGTCCGTTTAACCCGATATTTCTGTATTATAGAGAAGAGGATCAGCTTGATACTCCTCAACTGGTGACTCAACTATTCAGCTGCATTTAACTACGTACCAACCATCCTTTATATATATATCTTATTTTTTAATTTTTTATTACAGCTTGATTCCACACCGTATTTTCGGTACAAGTATAGCATTTTTAACAAAGAATTTCAACAAAATCAACACAGACATTAAGTTTGGCCGAAAACGTATTCCGAAAACATCGACATCAACAGTCGTCATTCCATATAGAGCAGAGACGTCAGACGATATCAGAAGAGTACTTAATCAACTCGACATTAGGGTTTTCTTCAAAACATCAGACACACTACAAAACAACCTTGTCCATATAAAAGACCAAATCCTGAAAGATTCTCTATCTAATTCTCTATTAAATAAAATGCTTGCTTGGAATGTGATGCCATATACATCGGACAAACCTCATCACAGAGAAATCAAAATCAGAAGAAATGAACACCGTAGAGCATCTCTTCAACCACCGAGAAATCCAATTGTACTTGAAAAACTTGAAAAACCATCACCCAGCCATAGATCTACATGTTATAGAATCAGGTCACAAAATTGATTTTGACAATATTAAAATAATCCAGAAAAACTTCAGAAATCACAAAGAACCTCTCACATCATCAAAAGCACTTCATAACAAGTGGAATCCAAATTCCCTGAATAGGAATGATGGACTAAAACAGAATTTGACCTGGTTGCAACACCTCCCTCCCCTTCCCCATGAAGTGACAAGATCAACACGAATGTGATAAGCAAGTTCACTATGTAAACACACACACACACTGCCTTTATAATTTTACACACTGATCAAATCCAACAATCCACACTTGATTTTGATATTGTTATCTTTACCAATTGACCAACTTGACAACGAAAAATGACCCCAGACTAACGAACGATGATCAAGTTAGTAAACTTTATTTTGATATCATAACAGATGTACTATTACCTTTGTTATTTGGTTTAGTGATCTTTATTGTTATTTTCACTTTCAATATGTCCCTTTAACTTGACCTAAGTCTATTTTCTCACCCCTTAACTCTTTGTTAGATATATGCTGAGATTTTGTAAATTCCGGTTTAATAATACTTTGATAAAGCTATTAGCAGCAGCATTAAATAGCGAAACGTCAGTAAAAACAGCGATATCGTTTTGTTTTCCAATCATTGGGAAATACAAAAACCTTTATTATAATGTGATATTGGTAGCCCAAATTTAGTAGGCGGAACATTGACAGCAGGTGTGTGTCGGCAGGGGATCGAACCCCAGACCATGTGCATGGTTGGCGAGAGTCCTAACCACTGTGCCATATATATATATATATATATATATATATATATATATATAAAGGCTTATGGTACTATTCAGGTTTGGAAGAATTCAAAAACTCCCAAGGCTTACTTGTTCGAAGCAAAGCATCCGCTCTAATATACCACATCTCTAGACAGGCATTTATCCCATTAAAACCATAACACAGAAATTTTAGAAAACATGCAAATATTAAATCAATAAAGGAATATACACAGAAAAAGATGAACAAAAGCCTCCAGAATTTTAAGAAATGCCAGATTACACTTTCGAATTGTAACCGAATAAAAAAAATTATTCTGAATTAGAAAACGATTACACCATCAAACCAATAAATACCTAAGAATATTCATCACTACATTTTTGCGTTAACTCTTATAATCCAAAGCTTACTAAGATGATGGAAAGGTTATCCCTATGCATCACGGTTCGCTATTCTTTATTCAATTTCCAGAGATTGTAAGGATTTGTTTGATTTCAAGTGACATCAGTTAAAGGAACAGTGGAAACCAAGCTGGTTCACCGAGGGAGAGGGCTCTCGAGTGGCTGCGCCACACGATGATCCTGCATGCCGGTCTCGTCTCGCAAGAGGCAGGGATGGGTGTGTTTGGTTCTCCTGAAAACCAATACCCAGTCAATGGGTGTATCACAGTGCGTCGGTGGCACAGCGGTTAGGACGCTCGCCGACCATGCACATGGTTCGGGGTTCGATCCCCGGCCGCCAACGCACTCCTTTACCTCGCTATGCCAGAAATAATCCTGGTGAAGAGGAAAGGTTGGGCATGAGGCTAGCAACCTCATCCTGTAAAATAAACACTGCTACAGAAACTTCAAGCCGCAAGCTTGAAGTCCTATGTTCCACTGGGCAACGTGAAGGAAATAGAAAGACCCATAAGATAGAATTGATTGGGCATTAGAGTGTGTCTCAGGGAATGATTGGTTAACGGGCTAACGTTGTAATCTGAAAGCCCTGGGTTATATCTCCCGTGGAGTCGGTATTGCATTCGCCTGATGGGTCTCATGTGACTGGGACAAAACAGCCGTGAAATAATCTCTGGTTCTCAGTGGTTGTTCAACTGATATCGGTTTGTAATCTAAACTCGCAATCTTCATTGACCAAGTTGCCGAGATAACAGCATATATTTTTCTCATGAGATAGCACTTGTTAAATACAACGGCAAGATGTGATTTACTTGATGATATCTGTCACTAAAGTGTGTCACTAAAAAAGTGTTTCTCAGATTTTGAACTGATTTTCGCGTCCCATTTGACAAATGTTGCAGACAAATTCGACTAGATTAAATCAGTAGAAAACAGCACGGATATGAGACTTATTGTACAAAATACAGCTCCAAGTGATTATTTGGTCACTAGTTTGTGAAAAGGCAGATGATTGAAATGAGTTCGGCTCAGAGTGGAATGAAATAACAACAATAAACGCAATCGTCGAGTTTTTACCATAAGGATCCATTTAGGAAGAAACCATGGTGAATATACTTTATTTTCAACAATTAGTTTATTATCATTATATAATATTGTTTCCTTTAATTCCTAGAGGAACATGGGGATTCAGCCACCCACGTCTCCATTGCGTTCGGTTCTCTGCTACAGTCTTCACCTGGCTCAAAGTCTGCCCACACGTTTCCATCTTCTCTCCACATGACCTCCTCCAAGTCACCCCACCCTCGCACTGACGACCAACTCGCCACTTCCCATTCTATTGGGGTTCCACTCAAGCGATGGCTTGTCTAGTGATATCACTCACTTGATGGTTTGTTTCCTCAGAGTATGGCTAGCCAATCCATCTCCCTCCTTTTCTTCCTGCCTATTTGTTTCACAATCAGTTGGTCCCTACTGTGTCGGTTCGCTCATTGCCTGAGAACCCTCTCTGTTGCTGATCTTTTATGGCCGGCCGGCCATCTGATCTTGAGTAGTATTGAGCGAAGACAACTGGCTGTTAATGAAGGTCTGTAGTTTGTTTGAGACGCTCTTTATGACGCGGAGTGCAAGTCTCTGATCCATCCGTATAGTAAGTGGCACTGACTGACTTCACATTGGAGTTGAAAATCCGGATCTTATTTTCGTTTTCATGCTGAGTGCTGACTGCTGACCTCGACACAGACTTGAGAGTAGTGATAGCTTGTCTTGCTTTTCCGATCGATTCTTGCTTTGATATCCTCGTCTATAGGGATTCTATTTGTTCCAGGTTAGCCCACTCATTGATATCATTAAGAGAACCATTGAAAACCAGCACTGGAGGACTGGACTGCCGCTTTGTCCTATTTTGCGAATCTTCAGATGTGCACACCCACTACAGGGGTTAGAGTCCAGGACTTTCTGGTTACAAGGCCACTGGGACGCGATCTGATGGCCAGCCCATGAATTCTAACTTCCACCAATTCATGATACAGCGCAACCACTTCGCAGTGTCTTCTTCGATGAGTT